AGCCACAATTAGCTAATAAAATTGCATTTAGGCAAAAGGACCGCTACACTTGGATATCTTTAACGCTTTGGACAAGGACGAAGCTACAGTTTCAATAGAACGTCATTCGAAATTTAGGTGAACTCTATCTATTTGCACTAAAAAGCATAAAAAATTAAAGCCGAATTGACGAACGCTACCTAAGCGCATGGGATCAGAAGTTCAATTTGTATGCTGTGCATGTCGAAGGGACAAATTGGGTCGAAGTGATTTCGGAGCAGCAGCTTTATATTCCCTTGTCTCAGGTTAGCATACCCTCCTCAAAAGCCTTTACTTCCTACTTCCTAGTCCCTTGAATGCGTAGAGAATCCATTTAAGGTCGAAGAGGATGGATGTATTGACGGCTGGGACTTGGCGGCAGTGAACGGCCATGTGTTCCTACTGACGCACACTCGATTATATCACTTTGACACGATCACTATAAAAGTACCTTATATTGTTCGTGCGCAAACGATGCTTGCAGATCGACGTTCTGGCCCTACCAGTGAAAGGTGTCACCAAGGGTCCACGCCACCGGATGTTCACAACCACCTACCATCTCGAGGCTATAGACGGCAGGAGACGAACTGTAGATATTGTGGTGGCGGTTGACGGTAAGTGATAACATAATAAAGGAGTGGATTTTCATCGAATTTAACCAAAAACCGGAAATTTAAAAGATGACTGAACACTTGATCGAGGGGTACATATAGAATAACGACGGAGGCTTTTCAAATTTAAGAAAAATAGTTTCTTAAACGTTTTTCCGGGTTTAAAATAGCTTCATAATTTTCGACACTCTATCGAAATATCGAAAATCAGCAAAAATATTAAAAATGCCGAAACTAGGGTCCCCCGTTGTCCTAAATCTGTGGCGTCCATCGTTTTCAACCAAACATTTTTATGCTATCAAGCTTTTATATCAGATTTTGTCGTGCTGTGAGAATTTCTTAGTATATTTTTCGACGCTCTATCGAATGGCACAAGCCAAGTCCAACAGTAATTTAATATATTGGAAAAATGATTAATGGCCGTATTCCCGTGCCTGTTTTGTACATACGTCAACCGATGGAAGTACGATCGTAAACTATTATATACCAGCCGATTACAGCCGCTTCGCGACTGTAATCGGCTGGCCTTCGGGTTACCCTCCATGTTCTACGCCACCACATTACAACTCTACCTTAATCAATACCCACGCCCACCTTCAGAACCTTCTCTAGCCAACCCCCGGCCAAAAGTTAAACCACCTACCCATACTAACTACCATCAACTATAATAAAAAAGTAGAGACGTCCGTCCGTGTGTCTGAAGCCGAATTCAACTCGAAGGGGAAAGGAGCTAGAGCTTAGCTCTCTTCGGATTCGGATAGAGCGCCGTAAGAAACCCCCAAACTGATAAAAAAATTATGAAAAAGTTTTTGTTTAAATTATTAAAATTAACTTTGAAAGTGGCGCCTTAATAAAACGAGTGGGGGCCCCTGTCCCGGGAGGCCACGCCCCTTTTTTCTCTTCGCCCCTCTTTCCCAGGCCCCTTCGCGCGCCAAGATAGCTTTCTTAAGTTACTTTAATACTTTTAATATTTTTTGATTATGTTAATTTATTATTTAAATCATTTAAAGCCATCGGGAAGGTATTTAGGTAGTTTTTGAAGGGGATTTCGGCTAGGGGAGCTATCTAAAGCCATCAGGGAGGTATCGAAGTAGTTTTTTAAGGGGATTTCGGCTAGGGGGAGTATCTGAAGCCATCAGGAAGGTATTTAGGTAGTTTTTGACGGGGATTTCAGCTATGGGGGTATCTGAAGCCCTCAGGAAGGTATCGAAGTAGTTTTTCAGGGGGATTTCGGCTATGGGGGTATCCGCAGCCATCGGGCAGGTATTTAGGTAGTTTTTGAGGGGGATTTCGGCTAGGGGAGCTATCTAAAGCCATCAGGGAGGTATCGAAGTAGTTTGTCAGGGGGAATTCGGCTAGGGGAGGTATCTGAAGCCATCAGGAAGGTAGTTAGGTAGTTTTTGAAGGGGATCTCGGCTATGGGGGGTATCTGAAGCCCTCCGGAAGGTATCGAAGTAGTTTTTAAGGTGTTTGAAGCTATGGGGGGGTATCTGAAGTGGTCAGCGTGGGTATTGATGAAGGTAGAGGTGTAATGTGGTGGTGTAGGACATGGAGGGTAGCCCGAAGGCCAGCCGATTACAGTCGCGAAGCGGCTGTAATCGGCTGGTAAACTACTTAGATGTCTTCCTCATCGCTTCAGATACCTCCCCCCCATAGCTGAAACCCCCTTAAAAACAACTTCAATAACTTCGGTACCTCCCCTAACCAAAAATTCCTTAAAAAACACTTCGCTACCTTCTTGGTGGCTTCAGATACTCCCCATAGCCGAAACCTCCTTAAAAAACGACTTCGATACCTTCCTGGTGGCTTCAGATACCCCCCCCCATAGCCGAAACCCCCTTAAAAAACGACTTCGATACCTTCTTGGTGGCTTCAGATACCCCCCATAGCCGAAACCCCTTAAAAAACGACTTCGATACCTTCTTGGTGGCTTCAGATACCCCCATAGCCGAAACCCCTTAAAAACGACTTCGATACCTTCCTGGTGGCTTCAGATACCCCCCATAGCCGAAATCCCCTTCAAAAACTACCTAAACACCTTCCTGATGGCTTCAGATACCCCCCATAGACGAAACCCCCTTAAACAACCACTTAGATTCCATCCCGACACTTTAAATGATTTAAATAACGAATTAACATAATTAAAACATATTAAAAATTATGAAAGTAACTCAAAAAAGGCCTCTGGGCAAGGGAAGGGGCCTGGGGAAGAGGGGCGAAGGGAAAGGGGGCGTGGCCTCCCGGGAAAGGGCCCCCCACTCGTTTTATTAAGGCGCCACTTTCAAAGTTAATTTTAATAATTTACACGAAAACTTTTTTATAATGTTTTGACCATTTAAGGGGTTTCTGACCATGCTCTATCCGAATCCGAAGAAAGCTAAGCTCTGGCTCCTTCCCCTTCGAGTTATAGTTGGCTTCAGACAGACAGACTGACTGACGGACATCACAGCAAAATTATTATAGTTGATTGATTGGAAAAATGATTAATGGCCTTATTCCCCGTGCCTTTTTTGTAAATACGCTAACCGATGGAAGTACGATCGTAAACTATTATATATTACCTAAGTAAAATCAAGCAGACGCTGAAATTAAACCATAAAATTCTTTAGATTTGCTAATATTGTACGCTGTGTCATATGTCACCAATCAGCTGGCATGCCTTCAGATGCATAACCCTGGAGTCGGTCGCATCACGGCACTGGCCCCTGGCCGAGATTTTGTAAGTGACCTCCCAATAATCACTCCTCCTTTATTTCAGTGGGTCGCTGGTCGAAAAAGGGATTGCGAGACTGGTCCCCAATCCTACACACGTCTGCCCCGGTCCCGCTATTGCGCGCCCCCAGGCATACGGTACCCCCGCCCCACCCCCACCCAGTGCCCTTTCAAACTGTTTTAACTTATTTATACAACCCTGGGGAGGTTTTTAATAGATCTTTAAAACTAAAATGTTAAAGTTCCTGAGGAGAACTGTCGTTTAATAACTTTTTTGGAAAACAATGACTTTTTGAACGAAAACATAGTGGTGATAGGTTTAGTGCTGCTAGGTTCATAATAAGAACAACTTTTTGTTGGCTATGACCAAGGAAACTTTTAACCGGAAGTTTCTAAATTTGTTAGCATATTGTTTTCCATGGTTTTCTGTTAACAAATGTCTCTCGTTGACCCCTTCTCGGGATCATAAGTTATACTTTGAGGGGATGTAACGTCAGTTGATCAATTCATTGTTGTCACGATCAAGCAACCCTTTTCAAAAGCAGAATCATTCACGAAGCAACCTAGCTTTGCGCCGCCTGGTGCCGATTTCCAAAACTATATTGATCACGTAAGCAGAACCGCCTACTATCTACGATATATAAATTTCTAATGTCCGTGCGCCCGACGTCCGACCGCGACCGGGAATTCAGCCAAATTGTTCATCCAAATTCTAAATTCAAATTGTGGGGGGAGGGGAAGGCCAGCGCTGAACCCTCGCGTAGCGGGGGGTCAGCGCTGGTAAATCTTGAAATGCTAAAAACACGTGCTTCTATTTGCAGAAAGCATCAGCAACACCGTCAAATGTTTCCTAAACCCAAAATCAAAACACCACCTCCGTCCGAAGCCAGTACTGACAAAATTCAAGGCTAACGGCGACAATTTTTCTAAATTGAGCACTTTTTTTCCTATTCGAGACACTACCTCCTAAAAGTCGTCAAAATATAGTTCTCCTCAGGAACTTGCACATTTAAGCTTTAAAAAAACTATTAAAAACCTCCCCAGGGTTGTATAAATAAGTTAAAACAGTTTGAAAGGGCACTGGGGAGTGGGGGGTGGGGCGGGGGTACCGTATGCCTGGGGGCGCGCAATAGCGGGACCGGGGCAGACGTGTGTAGGATTGGGGACCCGTGATTGCGAGTGGGTTGCGATCATCTAGGTTCTGGGACCATCACATACCCTCCCCGTACGTACACAAACTATCATTTTTGGCATTAGACCATAACGTCTCCTAGTGCTGTGGGTCTTTAGCCTTTAGCCAGTATGCTGGGTGTCCCAAAAAAAAGCACCCCTTCGGTATTTCGCCGTTTTACATCCAAGCGGCCCCATATTTTGCACAAGGGTATATCGTGTGATAAATAACCACAATCCTGAGTTATAGCCCGTTCGCTACCGTAGTTTTCGAGTCATGGCCAAAATACTATTTTTTACGCGAAACTTCACAGTTTTTCGGCTAACTTTTTGGACTTTGCATCGATTTGGATCGACTTTCGGCTGCGAGTCCCTAATTGCGCTTAATATTGGGGGTGAATTTGGGTTATCAATTACCCTGGGGTCGGTGCGCGCGCGCTCTGTCCTTGGCGCTTGTATCGCGTCGTAGTCGGGCCAAAGAGGGGTTCCAGGAGGCGAGGCCTCCGAACTGGTGGCATCCCAGGTGGAGTCGGTCCGCCGACTCTCGAACCTGCGCGCCGTACTTGATGGAATCCAGGATCTTGTAGTTGTACTTGGTGATGACCTTGTGACGAGCATAGGGGGTCTAGGGGTATGATTCTCGCTTGGCATGCGAGAGGTCCCGGGTTCGAATCCCGGTTCGGCCCCCAGTTAGGTTAGCTGACCCCTAAGGGTAGCGCCTAGCAGAAACGAAACGCACAAAAATTGCACAACGGCAATCCAAGAACAACGGCTCAAACGGCCAGCCAAGAAGAATGGGGAGCTAGCCCCGCAAACCACTCTCAAGCCTAATTAGTAAAAGAAAAACTGATTAAGAGTTAGAAAGTTTATTACGGGAAATGGTGTGAGACGAATTAGATGAAGAAAAAGTGGAATTTACAGAAAGGGGAAGGAGAAGCTAAAAGAGAAAAGTATTAGTGAGGAGATGGAAATGGGAAAGTTTAGAGGGAATAAAAATAGAGATTTTAGGGCGAAAAGGGGACATGAATACAGGAAAACTCTTATGGCCAAAACGGGGAAAAACGAGGGGCCAGGGAAGAGACTGGGATTGGGGAAATTCCAACCCTCTCGCTGGGCAAAGGGGAAAATCGTGCGGCCCTGGGGTCGGTGCGCGCGCGCTCTGTCCTTGGCGCTTGTATCGCGTCGTAGTCGGGCCAAAGAGGGGTTCCAGGAGGCGAGGCCTCCGAACTATAAAACCTTATAAACCCTCCAAAATGCCATTCCTGCCGTATTTCATACTCTAGTTACTTCCTATTAATTTTTATCTCTTCCATTTTGGCAATCCCATAAATCATTTCCAAATTTTTCAGAAGTATCAGCAAAAACATTTTAAGCCCAATAAAAAATGAAAATCGTATCAGAATTCTATTAAAACTCCGACACGGGCAATCAAATATATCTTACTGAAAGCCAGATGGTATCAGTTGTGTATAGAAAGCATTGTAAAACATATCGGTAAAATTCTTATGCCAAATATACTTTTATTTATCGGCTTTCCTTGCTATTCTTTGCAACCTGTGGGGCGAAACGCACCCCAAAACACGCCCCCAAACGCACCCTCAAACGCACCCCGGGGTGCGTTCAAAGGCACCCGGGGACACTATTAATGCACCCCCCGACGGAGAGGGGTGTCTTTCAAACGCACCCCGGGGTGCGTTTCAAACAGACCCCGGGGTGCGTTTGAAAGGCACCCCGGGTGCGTTTCAAAGACCCCCTGGGGTGCGTTTGAAAGGCACCCGGGGTGCGTTTCTTGGGGTGCTGTCCGACACTAGTGTAAAACCACTAAAACACCAAGGTTCCGAGCTCATTTCTGCAATCCTCTTTCAATTTTCAATTTTTTCCGTTTGGTCATCGGGTTTGGCTAGAGACAGTAAAGAACCGGATCCTGGAGGTGACGACGTGGAATTTCAAATTCCCACGCTTCAGTCCTCTGAGCGTTTATGCGGTCTTGAACGCACAGTTCCCGGTTTTCGGGACGTATCTCAATTTTTTTTGGCGCTCCAGAACCCCCCCTTAAAATCTAGATTTGCCACATTAAAGCACAAGTAAAATAATAATAATAACCATAATAATAAAATCATTCGCTTAGGTTTATTCTGTGCCGAACGGCGACCGCATCTGTTTGCACAACGGGTTAGTTTTTGAAGACTTCAGAACCTCACCTACATTTAGGAACCTGGTGCGCTACCCAAGCGCATATACGTATAGGACTGAACAACTTGACCGACCCTGTCTCCCCGAAGGGCCTTATGCCTGTTTGCTCGACGCGAATACGGAAAAAATGTTCTTCCTTCTTCTAACAAACAACATACATCGAAGACAATGTGTCTACTTGGAATTGAGCCAGTACAGTCCGAGCATGAGTCAGTTTTTTTATGTTAGCAGCTGAATGTAAAAGAAGCTTGAGCGCAAATGAAACCGCCAGCGGGAGAAAATTAGTTGTAAGCAAGATCAGGGAAAAAGGTGCAGGATTGAGAACCGATTGAGAATGCAAACACATTGTAACTGCTGCCTGGGTTTTCCCTGCTTTTGCTGCGCTACGGTATGTCAAGACATTTTCAAAAGTTTGCCACTTTACTTGCAAATCAAAACAACAATATGCAAGTACAGCACTTAAATCAGCCAGAAGGGATGATTAGCATATTATCATTATCTATTTTAGATTGTGATATGGTATGTGACGCGCCCGTGTTCATGGCAACAATTGACTATGAACGGTACTACACATACCATACGCCAGTCTTCTGGTATTTTGACAACGACGCGATCAAGCCACCTCGGTAAATGGAGTAACTTTGAGCGAAGAGGGCGAGAGAGAGAGAGGGGGGGGGGGATAGGGAGAGTCTCTACCCACCGATTTAGGCCGAAGGCCAACCTGCCGTTCCGTTTTATTTCCATCAGCCGCCACAAATGTCAGATCTTCGTAGGCAATCGAATAAAGACTGCAACTCAGCCATTTTAAGATTTACATGGAAGGGGGGGTTTTCCTTACCGCGCGGCACATTTAACCCACAAGACCTTCCAGCAGATTCGTGAGTGCGCCAAATGTCGTTTTTGCAAGCACGGCAAATTTAGAGCGCCGGATTTCAAAGTCGTCAAGGTCGCCTGCATCATTACACCGCTCATCAACCGAATTATCGTGGCAACTGAGTTGGTGATTTTTGCGTGGTCTTAGCAAGGAGTTTAGACACTTCCTGCTGATGGAAACCCACAGTGGTCATTTTGAAGTTCACGTCATTGACAAGCTGAGCCGATTCAACCAAGCGTAAGTTTGCCACTAAACTTGACCTAAGAAAATGAAACTTGTTAGTTTTTTAAGCCCGAAAATTGCGCTGAAATGCGCTAAAAAACCACCAAAGTAGGGCCTAATCAAATACTTTGGATTTTTTATTTCTGGCAAAAAGTCAGCGGCCGCTGCTGGACGGGAGCCATCACTCTTTCGAGTTTTGTGCTAAACTGTTTTGATCAATTTTTTGTGAAAACACACAAAACGTGCAGATTCTAGGCTCATTTCTGAAATCCTCACGCAATTTAGAGAAGTTTTGTCTTTTAATCATCAAATTTCGCCCATAAGCGACCAAGAACGGAATGTTGGAGCTGACGCTCTGGGCGTACAGAGGCCTTCAACGTAGAGGGCTCCGCTTCTTGGACCGTAACTCAATTTTTTGCGCTTCTTTTCCTCTTTAAAGGGCACGTTTCGGGACGTTTTTTTTGGAAAAAAGCAAAGATTTTTGCCGCGGCCGGGGGTCGAACCCGGCCCCCCCCCCCGCTCGGGAGGCGCGGATGGATACCAGTCAGCCACAGCTACAACCTGGCGAGGGGGCGAGGGGCGCCCCACGCCGCAAAGGAAGGGAATGGCCTGTCACAGCACGGGCAGGCAGTGCGCGCGGTCCCTATGTCCATAGGGTGTACACGTTGGGACGAGTACACGGCCCCTCCCTGAACGTGCGCTTTAAAACTGAAGTATACATTCGTCCGAACCAAGTAGCAGAAATCCATGCTTTCGCATTATCGGGGCGGGGGTGTATTAAACTAGCCTTAACCTAGTAACTTAAGAGAAAGCTTTTTCAATGTGTTGTTATAGTAAAATAAATTTTATTCTAACCAGAAAAATATCTAAAAACTGTGTTTCGGTCCACAAACCGATATTTTGTTGCATTCTTTAATCAAAAATTGAACAGCGGAATAGTAAAAAAGTTTAGAAACAATTTTGGTATTTATATTTGAAAAACTCGTTCTTGAGAAAAAATGCGATAATGCGAAAAACCTAGAAATCTATCCAGGAGACGTTTTTAGATCGTCTGAAGCGGCGGAAGACGTGATTCCGGCGGACAACATGCGTGGCCGAAAAATCGTGGATATGACAGACGCAGTTCATTGCCACGACATTATTGTGCTGCTGGAGTGCGGATATGTGGTCCATTATGAGTGGGGTCACCTGACGTTGAGTAGGTCCAAATTGACTACCAAATTATGCAAAAAAAAACTACAGCCCAAGTGGCCTACCGCCAGAGTCGCTGGAAAAGCCTAAATGGGATGTCCCTTGCGCGTTCATTTCTGGGAATGAGACATTTCGGTAGCTCGCCGTCGACTAAGGTATAAATCACCGTCACAACATTATCTTTTTGGATTTAGGTATTTGGGTACGCGGAGCGGATTCTGGATGATGGTAGAAAGGTAAGCCAAGCTGCTGACAACGTTTTTCCCGTCGATGAAATATTGATAAAACCAATCTACTCTAATAATTTTGCTGTAATGTCTGTCCGCCTGAAGCCGAATTCAACTCGAAGGGGAAAGGAGCTAGAACTTAGGTTTTATAGGATTCGGGTAGAGCGCGGTCAGAAACCCCAAACTGATAAACAAATTATGAAAAAGTTTTCGTTTACGACTGGGAAACTGCTTTGCTCGATTTTGGGCATAGTGAGCCAGGTCGCGCGCGTTTCGGCGCGGGTGAGGGAGCGCAAGGGGGTAGCCCGAAGTTCAGCCGCTTGCAAACGGAAAGCAGCTGAAAGCCGCCGCTGATTTAATGGAAAAGTACAGGGTGCCCCCAATAAAAAACACGTCCTCCATAATCAACAGAAAAACGGCATAATTCGATCGATTACGTGCGGGAAAGAATCTCTCTCTGCTCTTCTCCCCTAGGCGCGCCCTCTGCCCTGTTGGCTATTTGCCAAAAAGTTTAAGTCGACCTCCCCCAAGGGGGGAGGGTTGAAAGGGGCACTTGAGCAGCTTCGTTTTTCGACGACTCGTCGAAAAATGGCATGCAAAACGTTTGGCCTCCCGTCAGGGTGCGCTCTCTAACCGGGAAAACGTGCAAATTTTTCCACATTTCATGAAAGACCGGCGCTGCTGAAAGTGTCCCTTTAACAGATGCCGTTCTTACCCTTTAAAAGGCACGCTCAGGGACGTTTTTTTGGAAAAAATCAAAGACTTCTGCCGCGGCCGGGGGTCGGACCCGGGCCCCCCGCTGGGAACCTCTGGAACCCGGATGCATACCAGTCAGCCACAGCTACAACCTGGCCAGGGGGTGAGGGGCGCCCCACGCCGCAATGGAGGGAAATTGCCTCCCACGACACGGGCAGGGTGTACGGCGTGCGTTCCATACACGTGGGTGTACACGTTGGGACGAGTACACGGTCCCTCCCTGAACGTGCGCTTTAAGAAACGGCCTCTGCATCTAATTAACGGCAACTCCCCCTCCGATTTCGTAAAGTATAAGATCTTATTGCTAGATCCTCGTGGCCGTGATTGGCGCCGTGTTTCGCGATGACGAGGTTTTGGTGGAACACTTGCAAGACCTGCGCGAAACAGCTTCACTCAGCAGGGACCTGTGGTGATTTATATATCTCATCTGTCAATATATTTTGAAGGAATAACGACGATCGTTACCAGCACTTACTGCTCAGTCTCCAAAGTCCAAAGTCCCTGCGAGATGTCAGTTAACATTTAACCCTATCACTAAGAACTAGCGTGTTTTGTAATGTTGCTCATTGTTTTCAGGTTTCTTTGATCTTACCGATGATATCACGAACTTATCTACGAGCACCATTGATTACGTACAAAATCGAAAAAATTGTCGCGGAGCCGATGGACGAGTTTGGATTCTCTTTGGTCGGGTGTTTTAATTCGAATCTCCAAACCATTGCGTCTTTTTGGAAATTTGTCAAAGAATCATGGTTCTGGTTTGTTAGCGGGGGGCGAGGAGAAAAATTGTTTGCCAGTAGCTTCTCTGATTCTGAATTACATTATTTTGAGGTGTACATAAAACTTTTAGTAGGTTTTTCGTTGTGCTATTCAATAATGTTAAAATGATGTCGAAAAATATCAAAAATAACGAAACACAGATTTCTAACCCCATTTTCGGGGTTATTTTTGCTATAACGGTATGGTGTCTTGAAAACCCTTAGTATATTTTTTGATGCTCAACCGGGCCCCGATGACGTAGTGCTCCAAAAAATAATCAAATACTAAAAAGCCACAATATTAAGCTTCCCCCTCGATAAGTCCCCCCGCTAACGAACCAGAACCGAAATCAGTAGCGCACTCCAAAATCCACTCCAAGGCAGTCACTCCAAAATTCAAGTAACGCCGATATACATGACCATTTGAAGCCAATTAAAATGTCCGATTTCAGCTCGCCGTCATCGGCACCGGCCTCACGTTGATCGTCTATCAACCGGAGCTAGGTTAGGCAATTAATGGTTTTGCTTATTTGCAAATTCAGAGAAACTAACTGTTCTCAATGAACATTTCCCACGCTACCCATGTGTTGATGTCGCCTTTTCCATGGTAAGGAAATGATTTTTAACGCAAATTGGCTTGAAAATTAAACTCGAAAAGGTCAACTTTGTCGAGTTTTTGGAATATGAAATTGCCGCCTATTGAGTGACCTGATCCAACTTTGTCATTATAGGTTAGGAAGGTGGAAGTGGAAGGAAAGACGTGCATACGAGGATTTATCATCTTGGCCACTGAAGCGGATATCGAACTTTTGGATTTCCTCTTTAAGGGTGACCCAACTGGTGAGTTTTTCAGGAGCAATTTCTTTTACAGTCCCACGTCGTTCTGGCTGCAAAATCCCAAAAAAATACGCAAGTGTACGTTAACATTTTTCAGTCAAGGATTGGGCCACAAAACAGCCGGTTGGCACACCACAAGCACCTATCCTGCGCAGGATGGTGATGAATGTTGGGCCACGCATTTGCAAATTATATGTTCCCACCACCGTAGGCTTTTAAGGAGGTTTAAAACGGATTCTTATAGTATGAGACGCTGCGACACCAGCAACTCGCAATATTCTATGTGGCGTGCTGTCCGAAAAATGAGCGTGACTTTTTTATCGGGTATGGTTTGCTATTTTGTATTTTGGAGGGTCTGGTCACTAACGTTGTAACTGCTCGTTGCAATGCAAGCAATCATCGTGGCGAGCAGGTTTTGCGGAATCTGCCCGTTAAGGAAAGGTTGGTAAGTTTCGTTCTCGCTCATAATAAATGGTGTAGTTAAAGAAATTTTTGTCAAGAGAGCATTATTGGAGCTAACTTTGGGCAATTTATGGGCTAGCTGACGCTTCATGAAAACTGTGGATTTCCGGGGCAATCTGATCGGTCTAGTCCAACGCGGCTACAGCGTAGAAGGAGCAGCCAGAGCCGCTTAAAGGGCACGTTCAGGGACGTTTTTTTTGGAAAAAAGCAAAGGCTTTTGCCGCGGCCGGGGGTCGAACCCGGGCCCCCCGCTCGGGAGGCGCGGATGGATACCAGTCAGCCACAGCTACAACCTGGCGAGGGGGCGAGGGGCGCCCCACGCCGCAAAGGAAGGGAATGGCCTGTCACAGCACGGGCAGGCAGTGCGCGCGGTCCCTATGTCCATAGGGTGTACACGTTGGGACGAGTACACGGCCCCTCCCTGAACGTGCGCTTTAAAGGGCACGTTCAGGGACGTTTTTTTTGGAAAAAAGCAAAGATTTTTGCCGCGGCCGGGGGTCGAACCCTGGCCCCTCGCTCGGGAGGCGAGGATGGACACCAGTCAGCCACAGCCAGGGGCGTAGCCAGAAAAAAATTCCGGGGGGGGGGGCCCGAAAAATGTTTCCAAAAAACTCAAAAAATTAACAAGAAAACAGCGCCGCAGGCAAAAAATTTTAGAAACAAGGCTATGTAGCTTTCCAAATAGCAGTAAAAACGTAAAAAAATAGCGCCGCAGGCAGCAAAATTTTTGAGAAAATAAAAATCATAAGGGTCCCCCCTTATGAAATTTTCGACCCCGGCCGATTTCGGGGGGCTGGCCCAGGGGCCCACCTTACGCTACGTCCCTGGCCACAGCTACAACCTGACGAGGGGTCGAGGGGCGCCCCACGCCACAAAGGAGGGGAATGGCCTGTCACAGCACGGGCAGGAAGTGCGCGCGGTCCCTACGTCCATAGGGTGTACACGTTGGGACGAGTACACGGCCCCTCCCTGAACGTGCGCTTTAAGGGGGACATTCCGCTCTCCTTTTCAAGGTCTTGAAATCGTCAACACTTTAGCACGCGGTCACGGTAGGTGCTCGACCTCCGGCAAAACCGCCCACTCGCCCTGGGGTAAGCGCCATAGACCACCCGGCAAAACACATTGCCAAAACACCACAATTTCCCAGATTCTGAGCTTCTTCGCCATCTGAT